TAGATCATCCTTTCTTTTTATACATTTTGTTTTCTCTATTTATTGACAGTTCTAAAGTAAAAATGGAAAACTTTTCTATGACACAAAAGAAATAGAGTCTTTAATGTGTTTGTGACTTGTTATTTGTATGATTTTTCATTGCTCGTTCATATTTGATCACTAATTCTATTTTAGTCAATAAAATCCTTTTTATAGTTACAAAACAATTTTTTCAGTTTCTCAGCGATTGTTATCCTATTATTTCTTACACTTTTGAGTTTGAACTTCCAACTTATCTGCTAGATGATGCTGGTAAATATATTTATGTTTTTTTACAAGCCGACGAAATCAAAAATATGTGGGTACACTGGAAGAACACTTATAAATTCGTTTGTTTGTTTAAAAAGTTAAAAAAATTTCTGGAACAAACTGAAGCAGAAAGAATTGAAAAGAAATGAGACAAAGTATTGTAGGACGGAAAGAGAGGACACCCAATGTGATGCATGTATATGTCTGATATACATCGTGATGTATCAAGTATTGAATAAAATTTTAATAGCAGGCTACAAGTTCTTAAATAGTTATGTATTATACGAGACTGAGCATTCAGTGGCAGAATAAATATTGTATACTTTGTATCCGAACATCAACATTATATGCTACTAGAAAATTTTTATGTTATAGCCATATGCTAATAACAACAAGAGATAAAGTCACTGATCTATAAAAAAGAAGCACTCTACCATGAGAATTTGTAAAACTACGATATTTCAAGACTTATGACTTCTAACTATCTGAAAATTTCTTATTGAATATATCTGCATAAAGTTTTCAGTGAATAAGCATTACTATCCTTGAGATAGAAGGATACTGGTACTTTTGTCGCATACTGAATTTCCACGTTTACCTGATATTTGAAAGTCTTTTTGGTTGTACGTTAATGAATTTCATTTTTTTATTATATTTTTTATTATATTGAATGGCATCTGGGAGAGGTATTTATTCAGGGGCTAACAATAAAAATCTGTATGTCAATGCGACGAGAGGCTCAAAACGATCAAAAAGATATTGTGATATACGAAAAATGTATGAGTAATATCAACGATATTAAAATGACGAATAGAAATCGTATAATTGGTAATATCATTACAAAATATGATGAAGATGCCTGTTTGTCATACAGTGGCAGGCAGAAAATGATTGAAAACAACTTTACGTTTATCTGAAATTGCAAATCAAATGTATTTTCATTCGGCTAGTTGGCAGACTTTGAACATGTCTGAAAGGAATCGATAATTGAAATAAGATCTGATTATGGTAAAACATGACAGCTATAGTCTTCACCGACATATCGAAGAATGTTTTCTTACACGTCAATTGAATTATAAAAGAATATTGCTCAAATCTATTATAAAAGTAGATTTTAGTACACAATACAAGCTCATACATATTACGTATCAATATTGTGGTGATTGTCAAAATAATTCTTTTATTATCAATATTCAGAATTATTTCTCATTGTGATAAATTCATTCGACAAGCACTGATGAACAATGAATACTAAAAAGACATGATACAGTTATTTAAACGTTTAAGTAGCCACCTTAAATTAGAGTGTGAAACAGTTTTAGTTTTTGTATTGTCTGGGAACTGATCGAATAAACAGAAACTATTTTGAGTACCAGTTCTCGTTCTTTTGAAAAGAACTGAACTCAAATTGTCTTGTCCTACTTTGAAGATGATGTTGATATTGACAATGATCTAAATGTAGTTGAGCTCGATCTACTATGAATTCAGAACAATGTTAAAGGACCGAATTTTGTTTGAATATTAGACATTTTGAATGGATTCTTGTGTGTATGTTGTTTAACTATACGTTTAGACTTATTTCTCTATCAAATTTTAGATCGTACATTACATTACCATGCAGTGAAACATTAGAGTCGTGCAATAAATCTGAGCATCTAGTAGATATAACAAATTTAAAAAAATAATTGATAAAACAATAAAAAATAAAGCAGAATAATGTCGAATTTAGTAAATCAAACTGTACAACTGGATCGTTTAACAAAATATAGTTTGACAAATAAAACACATTTGTAGATCTATGTGTTAGATGAAACACATTGTGAATGTATTTATTTTATATCGATTTTTAATTTTAAAGACATGTTTGAATGTGTGAGACGGATTTATATGAGTCCAGAAACAAATGAGATAGCCTATCAGACTCATAATAATACCCATAGAATAACATGAAATTTGTGTAAAAATCTCGTTGCATTAGTTTCGAATGACGACAAACGAGAACTTACAAATGTAAAGAAAATTGAACAAACATCTCAAGCGAATTATCTCGCTTGAATAAACGATGGTACTTTTTTATCAACGTCAAAGACAAGAACTACAACGCTTAAGTCAATTTCAAATATCATCATCGTTCAAAGAATCACTTTCGATAACTTTTAATGGTGTGATACATCGATGAGTCATCGTTCATCGAGATGCACATAGATAAGAATTATTATCGAGATTCCATCTAGTTTATATATCTCAACATAGCAGAGCATTCCCACGTCCGCGATATATTTTAGTTATCGCAATACACATCCGGATAGTCTATCGGAATAGGCCTCATGGGTAGCTCCAAGGAGGGATTATTCGCGCTGAGCCTAGCTCTTGGAGCTACTATTTGAAGATAAAAGGAAACTCTAATACTCAAAACACTAATGGTTTCAATCAGTGTAGGTTTCGACTCTATCAGAATTTTATCCAATCGGGTCGAAAATTTCATAACAAATATCTGGGACAATATCTTAGTTTCAAAAACTTTTTTCACATGTTTTATTTGTAGTGTCTTAAAACAGAACAGTTTTTGAAAAAAATCGCTTTTTGAAGCTGTCAGAAAAATTTTAAAAAAGTCCTCAGAAATCTGTGATATCTTCAGAAGCAATAGAGATGCTTTAGGCTATTCAGCAACATACTTAGGATAATGTTGGCTTCATATAAAAGATCAGTATTTTTGACAGAGTGGGTAAGTCTTAGTCAGTTTTCACTTAAAAATGCTTTTCCAACTCTGATGATTCATAGTAATGAAAATTCTTAGTAATAATAATAGAAGATACTTTTTGGTAATTACACCGTCAAACTGCGCTCGTGAAAAAGCATAATCTAAGAAATCAGACATCTAGATTAGACCTGAAAACTTATTTCAAACCGATTCAGACGTATGAAATATACATTTCTGACTGAAATAAAACGTTAGCGAGCTTTTCACGACAACTCTTAAAAATGTTTTTGAGCATCAGTGGAACTTATTTCTCTAAACATGTTTTTAGTTTAATTCATTGCACGATGGGCGATTAGAGCGACTGCTCTTAACATCTGTGGACTGCATTCAAATTTTAGAGACAGTTTAATAAAATACTTAGAATAACCGAAGAGACCTGAAAAATGGTGTGAAGTGCTAGACTCACTCATTACGATGAAGAAAGATGAGAGGATATAAAACTCCATGCGTTCGGTGATATGACTGTAGGAAAGTTATATATACTGCACTGTTGGAAAATAGATGTCTCTAGATACAGTCAGAATATCTCATGGTGTCTTACATCTCAAAATAACTTTGTCTTACTTTGCGTCGTAAGTAAATTCATTCACCGTTTTGTTTCTAACTAATTTCTAAATTCTAATCTATATAAGAGAAATCAAATTCGTTACAAATTTGAAGTCTATTCGTGTCTATATCTTCTCTGAACTATAACTAAGGAAAAACGAAACTCAATTTAAAATGTTGTACCGTTATTTTAACACAACTGTATAGATCCATATAGGTGGGAACATCACTTTATATTCACTTTATATGTGCTTGAAAAATGCGTAGTTAGTGTTTCCAAGATTACGCTTAAAATATCTCAATATATCTCAAAAACTGCGTCCAACACTGATCATGCGTCTGAATAAAATGTATCTAAATTGAAACTTTTTAGAATAGAGAGAAATAGAGTAAATTTTATTTAAGCTTGGAGATTACCGAATCTGAGATAGTTCTGTGGTAGCACAAACTCGCTAGGTTTCAATTGGAACTTAGCATATTTCAGCACATATTCAAGAAAAGGGATCCAAAGCCAAGTCATTTCACTCAATGAGTACAAAAGGAGTATTGTAGTTAGAAGTAGTGAAGGGAACGAATCACGATTAAAACTAAGATAGGGATTTGTCAATTGTGGAGTTTTTTGACTGCTGCTTCAATTTTTGTGTGGATTTTTGGTTTAAGTCTATTACAATTGCGTCTTGCGAACTTCACTACAACTTGAACTTTTGCGAATATTATGATCAAACGTATAATTACTATCAAAAAAGCTTTATTGTTATCATAATAGTTCTGTGGATCTAAATGAAATTTTCATACCGCTACTAAATAGGAAACAAACGCCGATTATATAGGGAAATAAATCTTGTATTGTTGCATATGCTGAGTGTAGGTTAACGCATGGCATTCTAAGAGACATGGGATTAAAAAAGCCCCTTTCATACGCTAAACTACTATTTATGATCGATTCAAGATATTTTTAAACGATAGAAATGAAAATCTAATTGTTAATAGATAATATATGGATACACGACATAAATTCGTTCAATATATTTGAATAGTTAGTTTACAGAGTGATTGAACTACTTAAAAATGACTGTTTATATTGTTCATTTCAAAAGTTGTTATTAGAAAAACTATACTGGACACTCCCATAATACCAGTTTGTTGTTAAGAAATGGTGCAGACAGATTAACTACAATTGCAAATGTTTCAATCATACTCGACAAATAGGAATTATACTACGTTTAGATATGAAACTAAAATCTATTTTAGTAATGAATTTCATACTTTTGTATTTATCATGTATTTATTAATAAAAATAATGAAACAAAAAGCAAACTATCACTGACATTCGTTACTATAATAAAATATATGAAGTCCATACTAAAATAGAAATTTGAAAGAATCGTGAAATCCACTTTATTACTTATAACTTCGATCTTTCTTTCATTAATGACAGCAAATTATTGTTCCATGCTGGATGAATCTACAAATAGGAAAAAAAAGACTAATTATAAAATCAACTGGTATCTTCTGCTATTTACCTTTGTTTTATTGGACGGATTTAATCTTGCTCGTTCAAGCAGAGCTTCATATACATCGCCATCATACTGACCAAGTACTGAATCTTAAAAACCAAACGAGATAAATAGTTCAGTTTAAAATAAACCTAAGATCTGTGACTTTCGATAATATGTGATAGAGTTCTGATCAAAAATAACACTTTTAAATAATTGAAAAATGACGGTTTTTTTTCGGAAAAGGAAAGTCTTACTCAATTCCTTATCGTGAAAATCGAATGCGTCGACTAATCCAACAGCATTTGGTCTAATCTTAGTGCATAATTGTTGGTAACGTTTTTTTAGTAGTTCAATTGTATCTGCTGATAGTATAGTGAACTAAAACGTCAAACAATAAATTAAAATGAGAAATGTTAAGAAATTCTTGTTCATACTTTAACAAAATCATATGTTTGATTTTGTAATAATGTATACACTGCAAATAATTCGAATAATTGATTAAGAATATTTTGAACTGATGAGTCAGATGTAACTTTAATTTTATCATAGAATGAACGAATAATAAAGGTTTCCATATGACACTAAAATAAAATGGAATTAATCTGGGAAGGATAAATATTGCTTGTTAAAAAAACTCTCTTAGATAAATTTTCACTCAAAATTATTTCGTTGTATCAAAGATATTACATATAATTGTCTCTTTTTTTCTCTTTCTCTCTCTATGTGTCCTTAATACACACCCTAGCTATATGAACAAGTTCTATTGAGTTTTCAAGAAATGTTTCATATGGTGATTGCGATGTAGATGCAGCTATTTCTAACAGTTTTGTGTACATATCTTTAATGAGTCTAGAGAGAATAACACAATTACATCAATTACTTTAGATGTTAAGTAAAATATTTTCCTTTTTTCTTACCTCCGCGCTCTTAGTTCAAATATCTTACAATAATACTCTAAATTACTAATATTGCTAATCGGTGAAAATATAGTTGCTGTTTCTTTTAAATAAGCGACAGTTGGTGATATTAATTCTTCTCCATTTTCACACTGTTGATACATTTTTAATAAATATCTAAATAAATTCAATTTAAAAAAAATAAACATTTTGTACAAAAAAATGTTTCTTTTTATTATACTTTGCTGTTTGTTGTAATAATACACTATTATCGCCTTCATAAGTGCATCCCGCATCTAATATTAGCCGAATTCCAACTAATCCACTGGAAATTAAATATCCATGACCACCACAACTCAGACGACATATCTGAGACATACGCTCACTGATAGAAGAAGTCATCGCTTTTAAACCAGCTGATAACGAATGAATCTAAAACATAATCATTTTTTTTAACTCAATTTCATAGGATTAATACATTAGAAAAACACCCACATCTGGCAATTGTTGTAAAATTTCATCGGGTTTTGAAGCCATCACATTTTCATAAATCTGATTTAATCGAGAAAATGAACAAATAAAAGCATAAGATGTTGCTAGACATGGAAATAATTTATCTTGCTGAAGCGGATAATCCAATATTTGCATTTCATTCCTAGAAAACATAGAAAATCTATAATTACAGATGTTACTTTGTTTTCCATTGTTGGTTATACCCTTTATCATTTTGACCTTGATAACGCACAGCCGAATATCGAATTGCAATTGTTGTTGCTCTTGCCAGTAAAATTGCATTATAGGCACACAAAGAAACACGCATCGTTAACATTGTCGCATAAACTAAACGAGAATCACCTAGCCGAGTGAAATTACCATTTCTATCTACCTAGAAAAATGACAGTTGAAAGAAAAATCATTTAGATATCATTAAAATTATTCACATTAGCTAAACGCATCAACATTTGATTTCGTGGTATTCGAACATTGGTTAAACGTAGATATCCATTATCGCCCGCTTCGTGTGCTAAACGACCACTAATTTCACCAACTTCAATACCTAAAAAATGAAAACAAACATTAAGTTACAAAGAGACTATAAATTCTTGAAATGAAAAAGTAGATGATACTTAAATATATTTGTTTATCTTTGCACTTACCAGGCAGCGGTTCATGTGTATTAAAATCTCTAATTTGTACCAAAAATGGTTGTAATCCACAATTTTTTCCATTTGTATACAGTTGTGCCATGAGTATCACATAATTGGCTGTTCTACCCAAATATCCAGGCCAAAATTTTGTCGCTGTTATTGTAGGTGTATCAATAATGAAACTATCAGATGAATGCTCAAAAACAGCTATTGTTTCCAAACGTCGTAAATCTGAACCATGTCCTAATTCTGTTTGACAATATGTGCCAATTATTTTAAATTTTTTAGCCAGTTCTAAATATTGTTGATATTGCTCATCTGTCGCCATCATAACGATTGTGGGTACAAACATTCGTAAATGTAAACTAAATGCAACACGTTCCTCTGTAAATGCACTAGAATCGAAAAAAAAATACATTGTACTTAGTCATTTAGATTTAAATGATAGATCTTCCTTTATCTCTCTACCTTATTTCTGTTTTTGATTTTCTCTATTGCTTACCCTAGATACCACATTAAATGTTTGCTATCGCTAATACCTAATTTTTCTGCTTCATCCGTTGCTATAATCGATTTTCTTACCAATGTTTCATAATAATCATTTGAATCTAAATATTCCAGGGGTAAATGGGTATCATGAATTGGATGGTCATAGGCTTGACGAGCTAAAAGAGAAAATATGAACGTCGATTTCTATAGGGTATAGAAGTTTATTGTTTTTCTCTTACATAATTTTCTTCTTGCATCAACCTCAAAATAATCTGAATATATAAATTGTGTTAGTTTTTCAATATCAAACGTTGTTTTTTGTCTTTCACGTAATAAATGAACATTTTTAGTATTGGACATAACATAATAAGGACCATTTTCACTGTTTGACATTGTTTACAAGTAGAAAATATCTAAAATACAATAAGAAAAAATATGCTCTATGCTCTCATACCTTTATCAAGTAAACAACTGATAAGAAAGAAGAAGACAATATTCGTCACAGAGAATACAATATTATGAAAAGGACCTACTTCTTGACTCTGATAGTCAAAAGTCTTTCTGAAACTATTCTTTAGACAATATTTGTCATCGTTTTCTTTACGATAAAAAATGTTAGTATGAAAGACCCTTTCCTTTCCCTTGAAGTTGTGAGAGATAAATTACATTTCTGAATTTCAGAGATACTACCATAGAATCGAGATTAAGTTCTATTTTGCTATCGTTAATTTCTCAGTTTTCAATAAAAATATAATGACCATAAGCTCAAGAGACAGTGTCATAATTAGTCTAATTGTCGTTCAAGTTCTCTATCATCTTGTCTGTTTTGTACTTTCTTCATATTTCCTAATGCGTGAAACTCCCGCTCCTGTCAGAAGCTGAATGCGATTCTAACTAAATTTCATGGTTAAGGTCCAAAATCGTTTTTAATTTTGTAGGGTATGGAAAGTATGTTAATAATAATTAACGAAAAATAAAATATGAAAAGATATGTTGTATGTCCGATTATGTTGTTATTAGATCCAATGAGGTTTATAAACTATTAAGAAATCATATGTTCTTAAATGAAGTAAAACGTGCTGATTTTATCAATATATAAATGTTTTTAATATACTCTATAATTATTTATTTATTTAATTAATCTGATTTACCACAATATTCTGCACATGGACTTAAGGTCAGTGACGACGCTTAACAGTGTCCTTTCTATTATAGAAATGAATGAAAAAGAACGAAGCAACAAATGAACAAGCTTAAAACAACTATATTCTTACAAGAATACTTGGTCAAAAATCTAACATGCGTTTTTTTGTTGGGTTTAACCTCTCTGAGACCGGTGAGCACCAGACATAACGACATTGAACAAGCATTAGTATATCTTAATCTATTGCAGTGCATTTTCAAATCTTATCTGCGACAATCATTCTTTAGATCAGCACATTTTAGTCCCAATTTTAAACCAAAAACATTAAATAAAAAAATTTTCTCATTGCATGAGTACATCAGAGGTACCTGAATAATATAACTTAGTCGTCTTTAAACATCAAACTCAAGAAGGTCGAAACTTTAGCCATGATCAAGTAAGATTATGATAAAAAACTCGCCTTCAGATCTCTAATCATTACCAATTTTTGGTAAACCGTAAAATTTTCATAGATCTTACTGTGTATAAACTGTGTATAATTAATTTCCAAAACTAGCTCTACCAAGACACAGATAACTAATTAAAATAACGTCAATAATTTGAATGTCATTCCTTAAACTTATACAAAGATGATAGAATAATTTTGTCAGATGATAAAATAACAGATCGACATCAAACACGATTTTATTAAACAAAACTTCCAATTGGTAACGTTAATTATAATCAACTTGACCTAGAATCATGACCAGGTTCCCATGTAACAATTTCGGCTCTAAAAACGCGTTTATCAACGGCGTTTATAAACGCAATCCAAACGCGTTTAAACGGCTTAAAAATGAAATATTTGCACCGTTCAAACGCCTTTTATTTCGCTTCTATACCAACGCGTTCGAACGCGTTTACCTGGCAAGTAGCGTTCAAACGCGTTTTGTTCATCAAACGCTTAAAAACGGCCTAGAAATGAAACATTTGAAGCGTTCAAACGCGTTTATCAAAACTTCCGAAAAAAACAAAAAAAAACAATGTTATGTGTCACTATCGATGTGGCTGTCTATATAGTTCATTTCCTTCAAGATATCTCTATCCTTCTCCCTAGAAGTAGCAGAACAATTATTACTTACGAAATTACGGCGACTGGCGGATTCGAAAATGAGACCTAAAGAATAGAGAGCGAGACATCACCTACCATTGAGCTATTAGTGCTCGACGAAGATTGATATATCTTTCTGTCATATTATGTACTATGGCCCGAAAGAGTTTAGAAACCAAAGAACGAAAAGAAATTCTTTGACGACTATAACGAAAGAAGTACGTCATTTTCTTGTATTTCTTATACGAATTCAAGTACATTCACTAGGGGCTTTTCTTTTCTTCAGTACTGCGATTATGATGCGCATGAACAGAACA